CCCTACAACGTGGACACTGAGAGCGCGCTGCTTTACCAGGGCCCCCCCAACACGCTGTTCGGCTACTCGGTCGTGCTGCACAGCCACGGGGCGAACCGATGGTGAGTAGAGTTGGACCAATGAGCCCTCAGCAGCTCAGAGCGGCGTGAGAACGGCGCCGAAGGGATTCCCTGCCCGGTTCAAACTTTTCTCCCTCCCAAGGAGACAGGAGGGAAACGCTGCGAGTGCCAGCTCGCTGGAGATCTGCCAGGGAAACTAACTTATCTTGGGGTGACAGCACCCCGGGTGCGTTCTGGCGCAAGACCTTGGAGCTTCGAGTCGGGGGTGGTGGGCGGAAGAGGAGGTGGGGAAGCTGCCCTGCTGCCGACTGCACATCTGTTCCGACAGGGAGCTCAGTGGGCAGCACAGCTCACGTCTGAGCGCACGTGCACGTGTCTCTTTAGGCTCGTGGTGGGTGCGCCCACTGCCAACTGGCTCGCCAACGCTTCAGTGATCAATCCCGGGGCGATTTACAGATGCAGGATCGGGAAGAATCCCGGCCGGACGTGCGAACAGCTCCAGCTGGGTGAGTTGGGTGTGGAACCAGGAGTTAGTGACCTCCCGACCCCCTATGTGGACCCCACCATAGGGCAAGTCCTGGAAAGATTCAAGTCGCCTGTTGCTTCTCGTTTAAAGAGCCTAAAGTTTTCAGTTTCAACTCCGTCTCGTCTTCCCTCCTTAATGTAAAAGGGATTCCCTTTCTGTTAATATCGTTCTCCCTTCTCCTTATGGCAATGATTGCAGTACGCTGACCAAAACTATGGTAGAGGGAAATTTCTTATGATACTTTCTTTTCATCTCTCCCCCGTCTCTCCGTGTGTAAAGCACATTTTAGCGTGTCTCAGCATATTAAGGATAGAATCCAGCTAAGCCAAGACTTGAGAATTTTATTTCCATCTTTGTCCTATCAACCTTCTTAAAGAACAGGCTAAAGGGCATATCAGGAATAGCAATTGGAATTGATCCCATATCCCGTCGTTTAACCTAAAGGTCTAAAGAAAAAAAGTGATAGTTTTACTTAGAATATGCAATGTAAAAGAAAAGGAAAGTTGGCATCTTCATTGTTAATGTAGTATAATTTTCCACTCCCAAAACCATCATCCAAAACTCTCATGTTATATGGGTCCATCTTTTTGCAGTCATTTCTCAATGTCTCAGATTTGTGACAAGTTGAAAAATGTGTACTGATAGAGGGGAGAAGTTTCATGTTTCAGACAAGTTTCTTGCACACAGACAAGTGGGGAAAGAGGAACGAATATTAAATAACAAGACCTATCTTATTCCAAAATGTTACTGCTATACATATTGCTTAATTTTTTCCCCTCAAAGCAACCCTGGGTCATGGTTGACATTGTTCCTAGTTTATGTATGAGGACTGTGGCTCAGAGTTGCAAATACTTTTTTAAAAGTTATGAGCTACTGAGTGATAGGTGGGAACTAAAGTCACACTAGGGTCTGAATGGGTCCAAAGTCTAAGCCATTTTCTTTCATGTATGCATCTTCAATGCAAATAAAATTAAGTGAATGGTTTAATATGTTGCCTGCTGAGCTGGTGGGTCATCTGTAAATGGTGAATAAAATTGGTACTTTATATTTCTTTGCTGTAAAGGGACTTTTGGGATTGGTTATTGGATCTTTAACTTCTTTTGCATTTTATAGTAGTCTTTGCTCTTTTTCAAACAGCGAAGCTGGTTCCTTTCTTTCGAATGAATTCAAATAGAGTATAAACATAATGGAATGTTTACTTTTAACTTCGAACACCTATAAAAGTCCACGAGTTGTCTGTAGCATGTAGAATAAGCCCTAGCCTCTTGTTAAGCATCCTCAATACCAGAAATCACAGTAGGAATGTATAAAACATTCACAGACCCATACATTTGGAATGATTTTGCAAAGCATAATTTTCATTGCATGAGAGAGTTGTGGGTGAAGAATTAGGGAGTGGAGCTGACAACTTTAATCTGCCAGAGGATCTTGGCAAGGTCTCAGGAGGGAGCGATTTTATTTCTGTTGTCCTGTCATAGTTTCCTGATCCATGACATTATAACTACTGGTATTTAGTGTCTACTTCCTGTCTGGATGGACACGGAATCTATTTCTGGATGTCTGTGTTTAATTGGATACATCATGACATAATATATTAAATTTAAGATGATGCCTGTCCATGGAAGGGAAAAACTGGGCATGTGTAGCATGGGGGTTGACTGTTCTCAGAGAAATGTAAACATGATCGATATGTAATAGGAATTAAATGAAGATTTTTTTTGGATGGATGAATGAATAAAAGTAGAGGGAAAGTTTATTAACCAGATTTATGAGTAAGATAATTGATTAGAAATGAGCCAAACTGATATTTTTAACTTTCAAAATTTTGACCAATCTACAGGGTACTTACTGAGATGAAAGGAAAAAAGACAAGATTCCTGGTCAATCAATGAGTTAAAACATTAACAGCGATAGTAATGCCTTGAGTATTTGCTGAAGAGTTGACTGAAGTTATTTCTCGTGACGTTCTAAAGAATACAGATATCTTTTATTCTTCATGTAAAGAAACTGCCTCTTTCTATTCAGAATAAATTCAGTGGTAGCTTAAAGGTATAAAATAGGGATTGAGGCTACAGTCTAGAAATAAAACACTGAAAACATTACGTTGGTAATAAACATATTTTAGGATTATTAGGTTTGTGGGCTGTGCACTATTTTGTATGAAGAAGTTTCAAGAGTATGTGTAAATATAGATAAGCCATCTTCTGTAGAAGTGTGTGTGCGTGCGTGTGTGTGTGTGTGAATCTTCTGTATAAAATAGCTTCAGTTGTCCTGTTTCAAATGTGGGTGACTCTAATGTTGCGAAAATGCTTAGCTCAGTACTGACACATAATAGACATTCAAAAAATAGCGGTTCTTCTTTATTGTTTACTTAAATCTATTATCTGTATGTTATCTGTAATAAGCAGGTTGAGGTTAATAGGGACAATTAATAAACTGAACCAAAAGTTTAAAAATTAAAAGGTAATACATTAAAAGGTAGAAGTTGAGGCCGGGCGCGGTGGCTCAAGCCTGTAATCCCAGCACTTTGGGAGGCCGAGATGTGCAGATCACGAGGTCAGGAGATCGAGACCATCCTG